GTAAGGAAGGGCAATGTCAAGGGGCTTCGGGTGGGAATGAACTCAGAGTGGCCAAAAACAGCAAAAAGGCGGGAGCAGCATGAATGGGGAAAGGAAGGGAAGGGAAGGGAAGGGAAGGGAAGGGAAGGGAAGGGAAGGGAGAAAGAGGCGGCACAGAGGCATCCTGCCTCCTCTCTCGGAGGGCCATGTGGGCCCCGGTTCAGACTTCGCTTTCTATTCAAAATACGATGGACTCTATCAGAAGGTTTGGAGCAGAGAATGCATTCACAGGGCTTTTGCCTTACTGATTTTCTTATGGAATTCGAAGTCAACAGTCCAAAGATCCTTCCCTCTTTCTCCACACTTAAGGTTAAATAAGAATTTAAATCAGAATTATTTATTCGGTCTAAATTTGAAATTACCCTGGCTCAACAAACAGATAACGGACTCTTTGGACTCCTTATAGGATTGTATCCCTCGCCACTGCTGTATGCCATTGGCAGAACGTAGGTTTCACATCTGATTTCTTCAGCGTTAATAGATATTTATTGAGCCCTTTCTGTAAACCAGCAATGTGCTAGGCAGTTGTCTACATGACCATATTTCATCCTCATAATAACTCGGGGGGAGTGGCAAGGTTACCCCGTTCCCAATGACAGCATCTGGGGCTGCACCCAGCTTTCCCAGTACGACACTCCACATCACGCTGTCTTTCTTACAGCCCTCTTAGCAGCCCTAATGGGTTTTTCTAACATTTTAAAAGCAAATATCAAAATGAATCATCTACTCAGAGGTAAATAGTGGTAATTGCTGTCAGTCCCTGACAATGAAGCAGAGATTTCAGCAAAGCAGCATAATTTGCTTGCAATTATGCACCTTGACATTGGCCAAGCTGGGATAATGATTGGATTTTTTCCCAAATGCTCCCATTGTTATCCTACCTCATCTTTGAAAATTCAAAAGCAGAGAGACAGAAATGAAACCTAAGAATGAATATGGGTTTCAAAGTAATAAAGGTTAATTGAGCTCTAGATGTGCTCACAAGAAGAAAAAAATTGCATCACACTTGCAAAAATGAGATTATTCAGAGAATGCCTCCAACCTGGAGACATGGGGGAGCATATTACGAAGCAAGGGCAGCACCTGGGTGGGTGGGTGAGCAGGAAGCCTGGTATAATCTCGGACTAGTACATCGGTTCTATTGAGTAATTAAGGTTCCTAGAGATTTGTCATTACAAACTGTTGACCAAGACAAACTGTGCTTAAATTGTAAATACGTTTATCTTGTGATTTCTCAATAAGATTTGTGTCATGTTGACCAGGGTAGATCCATCTTGAAAAGGCTGGTGAAAAGAAGGTATGATCTTTTTATTAAGACGTATAAAAACAATATATTGTACATGGCTGCTCACAGCACTCCACTGAAGTAATGTCACTGAAGTAAATGGAAGAGAAAATTCTATTACAGTAGAACATGCTTTACTGCACTAATGTTTTCCTTTTGATTGTAAGCTGGGTTGGAAAACAAATTGCTGGACCCTTCAGCAACCATTTGTTTTAGCGTTTGGAAAAAAAAAAAAAGCATTGATTTTTAACACTGGAGCATATAATCAAGTTTTAGAAACATGTACATCGAAATGATCTTTGAAAGGCAATCCATCAGTGTTTCATTTATTCAACCTCTGAATATTACCTTTTTAAAGTCTTTTTCCCTGCTCTTCTATCTCATGTGTAATTTCCTTTAGAATTATGTCATTATTTTAAAATTGCCAAGTTATTGTACTTTTTCATTTCTTATTTCACTTACAGGATTTATATATAAGTATATGTAAATGGTAAAGAAGTAGGGAAGGTTTTTTTTTCTTCTTTAATTGCATAACTACAATGATAATGGCTTCAATGTTCAAAATAATGATGGAATAATTAAAAAGTTAACTAAACGACTCAGAGATTGTTTCCTTGCATCTTTTGATATTGTCACTCCCAACACATGGCCTTTTCCTGAAAGAGAAAGAGAATGTGGAAGACTGTACAGGGGATTCGATGACCAGGCCTATAAGTAGCATACATTACTTCCAACCGTATTTCACCGGACAAAAGTCAAGCATATGGCCCCAAATCAACTGCAAGGGATAATGGGAAATGCATTCTGTCTATGTCCCCAGAAATAGGAAATAAAATGTATTAATAATTTACCAAGCCTCTAACACAAGAGGGAAAAAAATAATTTACACAATGATAAGACACTCAGATTTCCTTCTATAACTTCTAAAAGTAGTTCAACGCTTAATCCAAGAATTCATTTATATGTATATTTTCTTAGCCTTATGACAAAAAGTCATGAGCGGCTGGTACAAAAGAAAGGCCTTTACTATTGACATTCTGCAAAATAAACAAGCCTCTGCTTCTATGGTTCAACTCATCTCAGGAAGCAGTTTTTCAACAGTTGATGAAGATGAATTTCTGAATACACCAAACTTGTCTAGTACTATAATAAGTCAAATCCAACCCCAGATGGACAACCACACCTCTCTCTCAACTCCCAGTCTACAGTTACACTCGGACAGTAGCATCCTGAATGTCCAACGACACTGCTGCAGTTGAGTTCAAAGCCAATTGGAACACTGTGGAAGAAAACTAAAATATAGGCTGAACTTAAGGTGTCCCTTATTGTCATTCATCAGAAAAAAGGTAAAGGTATCAGATGGAGGGTGAAATTAATTACAGCCTTCATAACAAAATGTGCAGTGCCATAATGGATGTGCTACTTCATCATGTAGTAAGTCCTCCCTTACTAGAAGGTTCCAGCAGTGACTGACTGAAGGAGCATTGGAAAGGGCTTCGTTATTGAGTGTGAAGCCAAAATGAGATCCGCGAACCACCCAATGCTCAGATTCCAAAACTCCATACAGTTAAATCTATCTGCTGGTTGTTGTGTTTTTAAGTAATTATTTACCAAGCCACACCTCCGGCTCTGTGCCACCAATGCCCTTGGTTCAACAATTATGTAAGAAAGGCAAAACACAAACACAAACAAAATTTTATCTTAAACTGCAACCTAAATGAGTGTTTTGCTTCCCTTTCTTCAAAAAGCTTATTGTACTGTCACTTTGTTATATTGAGCAAATCCAAAATATTCCATTTAAGTCATTTTCAACTCAAAAATAGCGTTCAATTTTGCCACCTAAAGGGACATCAAAGGTAATTTATATAGAGAAATTGAAATAGGAAATAAAAGTACAACTATGGTGAGCCATACTTCCCGAGACATGGTTTATAGAAATTTTGCATAAAGATCCACATTACCGTATTTTCCAGCATATAAGATGACCCCCTAATTTTACAGTTAAAACATAGGTTTAGGCCTATATTCGCTGTATAAGACTACCCCTCACTTCCGAAGCTTCAGGTACAGAACATGTACACTGTGTTCTAGTAAAAAGCCTGCTCAGATTGGCCAGAGTCAGAGAGGTGGTCTATTAAAAAAAGAACTGGTGTTGCCTCGGAAGTGGGGGGTAGTCTTATACAGCGAATATGCCGGAAAATATGGTACTGATTTTTAAAAATCTGGCTGTATAATCATATTCAGAGCAACACAGGTTGAACCATCATGTTTTAATGGTTAAAACTAGAAATGAGAGAAAAAATTGATATGAAATTAAAAGACCAGCAACCCTGGAAGGTTAAGGACTTGTTCTTACTACGGTAGCATCATGGGAGTTAATTCCAAGAGGGAAAAAGTATGGCCAAGATCATAAATTAAACTTGGTTTTTCTTGCTGACTAAACTCTATAGCTGTTAAAAATGCTTGTTTCTCATATCTAGGCAAAGCATCTGCTTTTTGCTGCTAAAAGTGGGATCTGAGGGAAGTAGTGATCTTTCCCAAGGCAACTTGATTAATAGTATGCTTTCAAATTTTAGCTAAAAGACATTTTGATGAAATCAGAAGTACTGAATAATTGTTTCCACAAAGAATCTTGATGTATATTTCTGTTCTCTCCAAGCTTTTAGACGGTGGGACTCTGAGATGTTCTGTTTTTCTTCCACACAGCTCTTGCTTTTATAATTATCTCTCACATCAGCAATGCTCATGGACCACCCACAGGCCTGAGCCGTGTGCGCCAAACATCCTAGCTTACTGGTTTATGAAGAGAGATAATATGAACATGGAGAAATAATAAGCAAATGGACAGCCACTGCCACCAATCCCAGGACAGCTTGTTCTCACAGCTGTCATCTCTTCCTGCTGAGCTTGTAGGAAAGAGCTTTTCTCATGCTCTCTGTATTCAGGTGAGATTCTCCCCCATATCCTTACCCCAAGACTCCATCCCCAGTTACACTCCATCAAATTAGACATTTCTCCCAGAATTAAAAATCAAGAAGCATAATTTCCAGGCTTGGTGTCATTTGGTCTTGGTCTTTCTGAATCTGTATGAGATTCTATTTTTTACTATCATGCTTTCTTTCTAAAACAAAATCCCCAAATCATACTTCAAGTGATTTAAAATAAGGTCCCTAAGAGACAGCGTCTCAGAGGGCTTCAAACCAGCATCTGGATTCACATTAAGCCATGAAATTTGTTGTGATTTAAACAAAAAAGCTGCTGTAACCAAAACTCCAGAAAGTCTTTCTTTTCTATCCCATAAATACTTATCTATTTTTTTTAATTTACCATGAACTACATCCAGACAAGTGTGCAAGAGAATGTTAACATGAACCTTTATCATGTCACATAACCTCTCTAGGCGAGTGGTTCTCAACCCTGGCTGACAGCATGTCAGAATCACCAGTCACACCCCGGAACAATCAAATCAGAATCACAAGCATCAACACTTTTTCGAACTCCCCACATGATTCCAATGTGCCCCCAAGGTTGAGAATCACCACATGGGGGCCCTTCCCTTCCCTGCCTATAAATGGAAGGCTTAGTATTGCATTCCAAGTTGTACTACTATTAGGCTTGCAATTCTATTTTTCTCTCTGAATTGCTAGCAAAAGAGCGTGGCTATTTCCTATTGAACTATTTTGAAGCAGTATAGAGCAAAAGAGGCTTTGGAGTCAGAGCTCTAGCTAAATCCCTGGTCAATTACTTAGGTGCACGACTTGGAGCAAGTTATTTAACCTACTTAGCCTCTCTGAGCCTTGATCTCCTCCTATAGCAAATGGCATAATTCCTACTACATGGGTGTTATAAAGATTAAGTGAGGTAGGTTGTATAAAATGCTCCCATAACAGACAATCAATACGTATCCATTCTTGTTTCCTTTTGCCTTCAGATTCTTAACCAAGCTGCTGGGTACCCTCCCGTGACCTACTATTGACTTCGGAAGAAAAAGGGAAGGACAATATTCGATTGTGTATTACATGGGTCTGTGCCCCGTGAAGGGGCCCAGTCATCTGCCTTCTACGTACATCAGAAAATCCAGCTGTTAGTTCCCTTAGGGTGAGATATCACTATATACATATTTGCTTGCTTGGGCCCACCCCTCAGGGGGGCTAAACGTCACTTGCTCAGAAACATAATTGATAGGACTCTATTTTTTTCCTCCATCAGCCCAAGAAGACTGAGGAAGCCCAGGTTTGGGGGGAAGGCTGCATAGGGAAACAGACAAGGACCAGCCAACCTCCTTCTGCAGCAGATCGGCTCTCCAGAAAAGCAAAGATCTAAAATCAGCTGCAGCCCTGCCAGTGTGGCTCAGTGATGGAGAATCAACCTATGAACCAGGAGGTCACAGTTCGATTCCCGGTCAGGGCACATGCCTGGATTGCGGGCTTGAACCCCAGTGGGGGATGTGTATAAACAGCCAATGTGATTCTCTCTTATCATTTATGTTTCTCTCTCTCTCTCCCTCTCCCTTCCTCTCTGACGTTGATAAAAATATATCTTAAAAAAACAGTAAAATAAAAATAAAAACAACTGCAGAGTAAGGCTATAACCACCATTACAGCAAAATCATGTCTGGGTGGTAGAATTGTTTGCTTTGCTCGTGGTAAGCCTCCCAGACAGGTCTGCAAACACACTTTTGCACAAAGGAGGATCTTCAAATGGCTGCAGTGTTTTAAGAAGCCTGGCGCCACAAAGCAAAGGAGCCTCTCCTTTGTGTGTGGTCTCTGAATTTCCTCATCGGCAACAAATAGGAAATGCACTTAGCTTTTCCCAAAATGTATTTTTAAATGATTAAACCTGTTTTCTTGGTTCTTACTCATTTTCTGAGTATAGAAAAATCTTTAAAATTAAGATGGATTGAACAGGAGCAAAACAGAAATTGTAAGAATATTGTTGATTAATCAACTATATATATAACCAAATGCCAGACATTTACATCATAATTTCAAAATGACCTGTCTTTGTGAAATCTGTCTGCCTTTATGGTCCCTCACCCCTCAGCTTAGGACAGGTCATGGCTGCCCCCATCCTCACCCTGATCAGATTAGCTGTCCTAAATTCTAACATGGCAGAGCCTGCAGCCCACAGTGGTGATTGGTAGTTATAGCTTCCCTAGTCTTCGTTTTGTTGCTTATTAAACTCAAGGCGTTTTTTAAATATTTTTATTGATAAAAGAGAGGAAGAGAGAAGGATAGATAGAAACATCAATGATGAGAGAAGCATTGATCAGCTGGCTCCTGCATGCCCCCCACTGGAAATTGAGCCCACAACCTGGCATGCGACTGGGAATTAACACTCAACCACTGAGCACATCGGGCAGGCTAAAATTGCGGATTTTTAAAAACTAATATATCTGGGTTCTTTAGTATAAGGAATGCCGAGCTAATATTTAAAGCAGTCCAAAATGGGACTGTTTTGATCTGAAATACTGAATTGTTCATTAATGTTGTGTCTCTCAATGACCTTATATCTATCTCAGTGACATTTGTACTTATCACAACTTAAATATCATACATTTATTTGTTTATATTCTTGCTGAACGTCTCCACCCTCTAAGTCAGCAGTCTACAAACTATGGTCCATGTGGCCAAATCAGGCCCCCCATCTGTTTTTGTGAATCAGATGTTTACTTACATAGTCAAGCCCACTCCTTTACATATTGTCCACTATAGCTGCTTTCCCATTAAAAAGGCAGAGTGGAGTAAATGTGACAAAGACTGAGCTGCAGAGCCAAGAATATTTACTATCTTGTCTTTTACAGAAAAATTTGGTCAATCGCACCCTAGCCAGTTTGGCTCAGTGGATAGAGCATCGGCCTGGAAACTGAAAGGTCCCAGGTTCAATTCCAGTCAAGGGCATATGCCCAGGTTGTGGGCTCGATCCCCAGTGGGGGACTTAGATGATTCTCTCTCATCATGGATGTTTCTCTCTCTCTCTCCCTCTTCCTTCCTCTCTGAAATCAATAAAAATATATTAAAAACAAAACAAAACCAAAAAAAGTTCGCCAATCCCTTTTCTAGACTTCAGATTTCCTAAAAACAAGGACTCTGCTATAAATTCAATGACCTACACATAGTAAATGTTCAATGAACATTTGTTGCATAAATAATGTTAAGTTTATCATGTCAGTCACAAAGCTACTTGTCAGGAACTGGTCCTCAAAAAATAGAAAAAGCTGGTCCTCAAAAAGAAAAAGCAGACACCTGTGTTTTTTTATACAGATGTATAAAGATGGAAAGACCTTTAAGATTAATACACCCCTAAGCAATTCTCCCAAGGATTGCCCACATAGAGGCAAAAACTCCTGCAGCACATTTGTTTTCCCTTTTATTAGTAAGTCACTCTGTGAATTCAGCCTGCTCCCAGGGGACCAAGGGATTGAACACAATATGCAAGCCATGATAATTACACTCATTTGAAACTTTCAATTCTGACATATTCCCTGACGTTCTCTAAATGCTCGCCATCCCAGTGCATTTTCGTTAATTTGATTAGGGAATGAAATGCATTAAAGAACACAAAGTACAGCTCTGCAATGAACATTGTTAATTAAACTCTTGCCCTGAGAAAGTTCCAGTGCACGCTGACTGATGATTCCATCTGTTTTGACAAAAAGTTTCTCCAGATCTGATATCCCAAACAAGGAAGGGGCTTGAATTTTAAGGCATCCACCTGCTCCCTGAAGTGCAAGACAGAATAATTCATTTCTGCCAAGTCACACGAAGAAGTAGATAAGAATTGCCCAGCACAGCTCACTGGCTCTGTCTCTTGCCAGCTCTGGCTGAGGAAGAAATGCTGGGTGATTTGATGGCTCCATTGCACGAAGGCAATTTTTCTTATGTCAGCCTTTATTTCTTCCTCCAAGAGTTCTTTGTAATTCTGTCCCATAAAAGAAGGATCACAGATAAATATATAAATCATGGAACAGAAGCACTCCAGGGTGGCAAGGTCTGGAACCCACAATCATATCACACTTCATGCATTTAGCAACTATGTGTTCAGCCCCTAGTCTGTGCCAGACACTGGAAAAACCAAGAGGCATGCTTTGGAGCTCGGTTTAAATCCGAGCATTCTTTTTTTAAAGACAGGAGTGTTGACTCCTCGGGAACCTTAATTCTCAAGGGAGAAAACCTAAAGAATGCAGCTATAAAAATTTCAAGCCCCGCAGGCATGGCTCAGTGGTTGAGCATTGACCTGTTAACCAGGATGTCATCATGGTCGATTCCCAGTCAGGGCTCATGCACTGGTTGCAGATTCAATCCCCAGTGTGGGGCATACAGGAGACAACCAATCAATGATTCCCTCTCATCACTGATGTTTCTATTTCTCTCTCTTCCTCTACCTTCCTCTCTGAAATAAATATAATTTATTTTTCAAATTATCGTGATCTCAGCTATAACAACATCGGCCCCCACATATGTAGTATTTTGTGTTTCCATAAATTATTTTGGCCCCAAATGTGACTTCCTGAGATGGTGAAATGACCACAGCAATGCAGCACAACCCAGTGAGGGGCCATCAGGTGAGGAGACACGGGAGAAGCTGTGTATTCTTGAGCAAGGCCTTTTAACTGTGCTGGGCACCATTTCATTTTCCATAAAACATACACCGCAGGGCCTCCTCTGCCCCTCTCTCAAGGATGTTATGAAGATAAATCAGCAAAATATATGAAACAAGAAGGAAAGCACTCTATAAATTTTTAAACTTCTCATTACCAAACACAAAAGTCAAGTTTCTCTGAATGTAAGGTACTGAAAATCAAGCATCCTATATCACTTTCTGCCAAAAATTATAACATCATTAACGATGGGACTACACTGCTGTGCATTTTAACTGCAAACTTTATGGTAGAATTGTAATTTTACTGATATTTAAAAGGAGAAGGATGATTTAAAATGACAGAAGCCAAATTTCTTTGCTATCTCCTGTTGCAGGGAGTAAGTTGAAGTACTTAATTTTAAAAGGACATATTTATAATGTGTGTACATTCTGTTTAACAGCTAGTAATCTGAAAAGCTTACAGGAAGTAAGTTGGATGTAGGATTTCAGGAAAAATTCAGTGTAAACTTGAATCATTCTTGTTATCTTTACTTTGTGCCTTAAAAAGCAACAATAATAATGACACTATCCCATTATATCCAAAGATGAACCACAGAAACACAGTGGTTGCGCATCTTGGTCCCACTGAAAATTATACCCCTTTGGACTATGGACACCTGTGTGGGCCAATGGGCTAGAGAGCAGAATTCCATTGGTATATGGAACAGAATAGTAGAACCAATCACTTTCCCCTTGTTCTCCCATTCTGCCTTTGCCTCCATTATAGAACTTGCTTTACTGTGTTTAGTAATTAATTACTATTCCATGCCTCTAGTAGGACAGTGTATTCTTAGAAGGCAGGGCCACATCTTATTTGTATCTACAATCCAAGACTTGATGAGCAATGGACATTATTACTGCATTGTTTGATCAACAAGCTACTGGTATCTAGCATTCCCAACTCCAAGTGCCCTGGAGCATCAGTGTCCTCTCAAACCCCAATTCTGTGCACACAATTGACCTTGGCTTGGCAACATTTATTCCAACTTATAGAAAGGCTTGATTCGAAAGTTACAACCAATGCTTCATTCTCAATGGGGGGGGGGGGGG